TTGTGGAAAGAGAAGTTAAACATGTCTAATGTGCTATGACGCCTGAACGGTTTAGGTCGGTTATATAACGTGTTACAATCTTTGGTCTGGTTTTCCTGGATATCGCTTTAATTTATCTTCACATTGAATACCTCAACTGTTTGCAAATTTTTTGTTTGCGTGTTTTTGTTTACGATTTCGCGTCGACCTGGTGTTCCTCCTAAAGTAGTCTGTTTTATTTTATAATTGTGTTTATTCTAGGATTGTAGGGACCCCTGAATGAATAGTCTATTTACCTCGATGATGATTGTGAGGAAAATAACTTCTGGACTTCAAGAGGCACAGCCAGATATGGCTTGGTGATAAACCACACAATAGAGATTTCCTCCCAGCTGCCCTGGTCTTAGCTCGCACGAATAGATCGTTGAGGGCTTCTCCAATCTTATCAAAGTAAAGTGTGTGTGTTTGTGTTTGTGAAACTAATCTACAAACATTACTGCCGAACTTTCTCCCACTATCTTATCGTGATTGGCCTCTGTGCAGACTTAATGCCGAAAAACCACCCGAAGTAGCCTTCACATGAAATCTAGTACTTCATGCGTAAGTTGAACTACCGAATTCATTCATAATTTGTGATAGTGCGTTTGAAAACTATTATTGTGGTGAGTGATGGCAGGTCACGGCTCTTACCCGATCCCTCGTCTAACCGCGTATTTAGTGGGTTTGCCTTGGTAGTCCCTCGTTTACTGAAGTACCAGTGCCAACCGGAATCGCTAATATGTCAAGAAGTCGCAAACAGTCTCGATATCGTCAGTGTAATATCGGTTTGGATCGAGATGCACAGTCATTGGTTCATTGCTAAAGATGAGCGCAGCCATGTTGTAAGTAATCCTGCATTGGCGGGCACTACGTTAAGTTATATCACTGGCAACCTCCTTTCCACGAGCCCTTGAATGAATCGGAATGCCACCAATAGGAATGGGAATCGGGGCTGATTTATGGGGAAGTTCACTGATCATGAATATAGGACACGCGACAATTCCGTTGGTCATTTTAATGGTTCCTGAGATTTTGGTAAAGGCTTACAAAACAAGGAAACCGACAACAAGCAATCGTGCGTGATGGTGTTCCATCTGCTTGGTTCCGGTTAGCTATTGTTTAGTGGTAACAAAAGAAATCTGCATCCACCTATTCAGTACACAGTCACTTAGGGTAGGGCATTTTCGTTGTTTACATACCACACGACACGTGATGATTTATGGCATGGCCGATGATGTATTGGTTAATAGTAGGTTCGCTACCTTTACTTGAAGTGTAATGCCCACTGTGTGCTTTACCTGCAAGCGCTAATTCGCTGCCGTTAAAAATTTGCGTTGGGGGCGGAGAAGACAGGTAGTTCAATTGAATTTGACGTTTTCATGACTGAGTTCACACCAAAACGGTAAAGCCAATTCAAACTGAGGGAAGTCTACTTAGAGATAGACTGTCGTGGTGAGTGCTGGGTTCTCCAGCAGTTGAGATTCGAAACACAAAATGTGACGTCATGTCATGTGCCATGAGTTTAGAACCGAGAGGGGTGTTGGGACTGCAGCAAAGAGCATTCAGGACGTGCTTTTTCGATTTCGAAATGGTGGCATCTATACGATGAACTGCGATGATGACAGTATCCACGATATACCTTTGAAGAGATCGCTGAGAGGCTGAATACCGACAATTTAAGAGCATTTGAATCAGCTGGAATTAAGTTGGAAATCCGGTGTGCGAGTTCCGTACGTGTAGACGGGACCCAATGAAGGGAAGCGTGCTACCAACCAAACGAGGCATTTCTGGATCAAGTCACAGTGTTTTTGGAGATTCCCCCACGTGCTCGAACAGTAAGCGCGGAGAAATGTTGAAGTCCATGCACGCATTCCCCATCTTGCCAAATTTAATTGCACCATCATCTAAATGACATCTACCATAGCAGACACCGCACAACTTAGGGGGTGAAGTAAGGAATCCTTCCGCATCACCCCCAATATTTCCCTGACCTTGAACTCTCAATTTCAATTGTTTCATTCCCAGCAAAATAATAGAAATTGAGGAAATCGTTTGTGGGAAAGAAGCTAACACCTACATTATTATCTTCTTTGGAGAGAAATCACAGTTTCTACAAAGAAGAAATTCCTAGGCTCAAAATAGTAGAGGGTACGTTGGTCTCAAATTGGGCACGATCTTTCGAAATCACAGAAAATTATTAACAATTAATTGATTCTCCTGGCCATATGCTCATCCCTTTACATTGTCAGAAACTGGGAAATGCAGATTTAGTGTTTAAAATAGCAAATTTTGACCTGGATTCATTTCTCAGTCTTCTTGATTAAGGTCATTCTAATGTTGATCACGTGAGCACCTAAAACGACCACACAGGAAGAATTTTGAAAGTCAGTGCTCCATAGATTTTTTTGTTGACGAGGTTACGCACGACGGCCAGCAACATCCTTAACTGCTCAGGTACAAAATAAATGAAAGGACATAAACTGCTTTACAATAAATATTATAATTTGTTTGTTTGTGAACTTATTCACTTTGCTAGTTTAGTTGCAGTTATCTAAATTAAGATTAATCACTACAGTCGCCGTCAACCTAACCCTGATTGGTAAAGGTGTCATGAAAATCACGGTCGTAATTGTAATAAATTCTGTTCCGTTAGTATCAACGAATCCAGTTGGAATCAATGGCAATTAGAACTGCTATTTATGAATTTCGTACCACACTACGAAGGCGGAAACACGTGCCAAGTACGAGGTTGGTTCTGCAGGATCAAAAAACTCAGACGCTGTTTCTCATATTCTACTGAAATACCTCTAGTAAATATTTTTTATAACGGAAAATAGTGTCGCAATTGGAAGCAATTATTAACAAAAGGGCAGTAGTAGGAGACTTCAATCAGTCTTAAAAAAGGAAAATTAATTTTTATGCGTGCTTTTGTTGTAGTATTTAATCGGAGTTCAGCATACTTTAGGGCTTACTTCTATGTGTGCGAGAAAACATTAGGTGGACTGTGTGGTTTCAGACGAAACCACCTGCGTCGTGTGTGTGTGGGTGTGTTTACGATGCTCGTGTTCATGTTAGTGTTTTGAAACACAAGACGGGTAAAATGAAGACATACGTTAATTTTGTTACTTTGTGGGAAACTTCGGTGAATATGAAATATCCTATGTTGCTTAAAAGTAATCGATGTAATGACCTTTGCAACTTCCTCCGTAATGCAATTTCATCAGTTAAATATATCGACAGACTTAAGTGAAAAAGGCAATGTAACATTAATTTTTTGGCAAGGCTGAAAAGTAGATTCTATAAGGGGTTTGTGATTTTGAATGAGAGTAAGCTCTAGGACATATTAAGCTTTCTAGGTAGGCAAATAGGCAAAATATGTGATCTAAATACCCTCCTTCATATAATACATTATTTAAAACATGACCGCAAAAGTTAAAAGTCCAACGAAATAAACTAAACATCAAAATTTGATGCAGAAGACGTTGAATTTTAAAACGATTGACAAGATTTCTAAATTTTGAATAATCTATTCCTGGACTTTCCTGAGTTGTCATATGTTGTTGTAGAAATAAATCGTGAACTCGAAGTTAATCTTCTACATAGCAATATTTATCAATAGAATCAACAGGATGTTTTTAACTTACATGAAGGCTTCAGATGGCAATTGATGAATTTGTGAGGCTGATAATTTAGTGGTATTATTTGTATTCCACAGTCAGTAGCCACGTCTTAACTTTATTTAGCCCATTCTCACCAAATTTCGACAAAAAAGTGAGAGCTTCAATTTTAACGCTGGGTTCTAGATTGCTAGAAAATTTCGATAATTAAGCTCCGTTGGTACACAAGCACGATTACCGTTATAACGCAAAGGATTTCCAAACACCTAAAAATACATAATAAAAGGCTGGCTTTTTGGTAAGTGTTTTAGAAACAAAAAAGTTGATGAAGTAAACTGCAAAGTGTTTGAATGCCAATTTTCATAACGCTGCACATCAATTCAATTCATATTAATTAAATTGCTTAATAACAATGAAAATAGAATGGTTCTCAGTTGTATACAACCTATATGGCACAAAAAGGTTTACGCAATAGTATAAAATAGGCCACAATTATTTTAGGGAGATTTCCATATAAATTTCGTATAAGGTAGTCATTGGAAATCTAAAATCTGCATGGATTCTAAATATTTTTTTATAAGTACTCATACATTTTGCAAAACTGCATGAGATCCAAAAAATTGCAGCTATGGTTATAAACAATCTTGTACATATTTATAATGATGGACATTTACCACTGGTTTTTGGTTAGAAATTTTATTTGCAGACTTTAGTCAGGGAATTTTTAAAAATTAGTCTTATAATAAATAGAGCACATAAGAAATTGAATAGTTTAAAAAACAAATTCCAATATGTTAATCTTTTAAGGACATTAATGGCCTTGACTTCCAGATTTAATGGACTCGTGTAACAGTGGCAATTTCGAATTCGTCGTGCAAAGATGGCTGCTCAAGGGTCACCTGATTTTGCTAGCCTCTATGAATTAAAGGAAGAACTTGGACGGTATTAAGTCTTTTTTTAATTTCGAATCCTTTATACACTTAGAGGGGCTTTCTCAGTTGTTAGAAGGTGTATTCAGATATCTACGAATCTTGAATTTGCTGCCAAAATAATTAGTACGAAAAGGCTCGCTACTAGGGGTAAGTGGAAATACTGATTTATCACACATTTTTCGAGAGCGTTTTGATTAGATGTTGGTTTTGCAAGCAACTTGACATGCTCGGTTCGCCGCTGTTGTTTGTACTCTTATCGATATCACCCATCCTTTAATGTTTATGTTTTCCAAGTGATCGATTTTCTTTTATGCTTAGAATAATTTTGCATAGGTAATTATAGCCTTTGTTCTTGATTAACATTTATTTTTTAAGATATGCTTTAGTGTCTGAGCGTAGATTATGATGACTTGTTTTTCTCGCACAGTTTGATATAAATCGGTTCCTTGCAAACTAACCCTGTTTAGGATTTTCCCAGCAATCTTGATTGGACTTATTGTTAAATTTTATGTTTAAATATTTTTGGGATTGTTTATGGATAAAACGTTAGAGCGTGGTAAATCAAGTAGTTCGATATTCTGAGACATCCCGATGATGACTCAGATATGTGTTTAACATTATGGATTTCAAGATTTAAAGTGTAATTGTGTTTTGTAGATATGCAAAAACTTGAGCGGGAAGCACGAATCTGTCGCCGTCTCAAACATCCAAATATTGGTAAGCATATCCTGTGATTCTTGTACGTTACGTTAGCTGCCTAGAAACAGCTTTACATTATTGATATATAAATAGTTGAGACTAACATTCTTCTTTTCCTTGAAATACAGTGCGACTACATGACACTATTCAGGATGAAAACCATCACTACCTTGTCTTTGATCTGTAAGTAAATATACTTAGTTTAAAATCACTCCTAAACACTGATTTTCTATGCTCATGTTATTTTTAGCGTCACTGGAGGAGAACTCTTCGAGGATATCGTTGCTAGAGAATACTACAGTGAGGCTGATGCGAGGTAAGGTTTCGTACTGTATGGTTTAATATATTTTCGTTGTATAAGTCGGTTCGCAGGAGCTGTTGAATCGAAGAACTTTATAGATTAATGCCTTTTATCTTTGGTCTTTAGCTGGTTGTGAAATTGTGCACTGGGTTCTTTTTGGTTTTTTATATTAATCCAAATATTTCAGTCAAAAGCAGTGATAGTTTCAGATCATCTACATGCATGATAGAAGTTTATTTATTTGGGTGATAGCGGAGGTGTTCAATAGTACCCAAATTGTTGTTGCAGCGATTAGCAATCTTATTTAACGACTTGTATGAGAGGACACTCAAGTGTATCCCTGTTTAATTATACTTACTAATCGAACTCCTTGCCTTTAGCAACTGCATGAAGCAGATTCTTGAGAGCGTCAACTATTGCCATCAAAATAACATTGTCCATCGCGACCTCAAGGTATCATATCCACCTCTCAGATTTGCATGCTCACACTAACTCCTCACACTGCATGATACACTAACAGCTTGCATCCAGTCAGCATGCAGTTTTAACAAAGACTTATTGCTTAGCAGCGCGCCCGAGTGCACAAATGTTATAACCTTTACTGTCAAGAACTTTTTAAAACTAGATCAACCGAGTACAGGACGTTTAAGAATGCTTTACAGAGTTCACTGAAATTATCACTAGTAATTGCATTTCCATCTCTGCTGTGTACTATACTTCCCACGAAATCATAGGTTTAAAAGTGCTCTTTAAGATGGTCAACTTTTCCCAGAGCATTTTTCGCGTAAATATGGTGCATCAAAAACAACCATCCCGTGATCGGACCTTCGTTGAAGACTTTGAACTGTTCCTCCTAGTTTATCTTAAACGAGTTCTTTTTATTAAAACGTCAGCACGTCAAAGTTTCCACCACATAATTGTTGTGTGATTTCGACCGCACACTTTGTAGTAACCCACGGAATCGTTCGGTCAACATCATTTTCAGTTCAAATATGTGCTTTGCGATGCAGCGAGAGTGAATTCATCTTATTGTGGCGTCTTGGATGGAAAGTTGGTATGGAATTTAGTCTACCAATTACATCCAGTAAACATTTGACCGAATTATTGAGTTGTTTGGCGTGGATTTGACTCGTGGCGACTCCTACCTTACACATCCTTTGGCGTTAATCTGCTTCAGTTTTTGTTTGAATTTGATTGACATCATTATTCGCCACCAATCACGTTGATCTCCCATGTGTCTATCATCTTGTCAATGATAGGTTGGCGATTTGAGCAGATTTTGGACATCCAAAATTTGGTATACATTGACACCCTAGTCTGAATTTTTGGCATGGTACAGGGGAGGTTGCATTAGACGGTTCAATCTTTTATGAAACCCTGTAAACACCCGCGAGAGATGTGTGCACAGTTCCTGTCTATTTCGTTTGTTTTTTTTTCACGGTCCCCTTGTGAATTTCGTGCACTGTGTCAAGTTCCTATCTCTATTCTTTTTTTTCCTGCACTTGAGAATCCTCCAGAGGACATTCGGCGCCACTTTGATTTCTGCACTTAACAGCCGTAAATTAACATTCTGAGTTAATTATAGTTTCTATGACTTGTAACACAGGCGTGGGCACAATTCAAGAATCGGCCACCTCAGTTGGAGTTCCTGTGATGTCCATTCCCCTCTCATGGCATTGCCTGCAGTGAATAGTGTGTATTTTTTTTTCAAAATTCGTTAGTCCTAGTTGGTATTTGTGTGGATTCCGACTCCAGTGAGGTGTACGCAACCGGGATTGGCCAATGGCAGAGAACCACGCAGTAACTGCTGCTCTGTCTTAAATCCGATACAGACATAGGCGAATTTTAAAATGTAATATTAATGCTTTTGGGTGTCTGTGTGGTCACAGCCCACCCTAGTGGCATTTTCCCCCACAATGCCAGGAGGAATCCCATATCGCATTGACTAACCACCTGCAAAATACACATCAAAGAAGTAAATGTGTGGTCGAGTGTTTCCTGTTATGGAAGGGTCTTTCCTGACGTCAAAATACTGGGTTTAATTTCGCATAATGCAAACTCAGATTTGTGAGTGCTCCATGGCCCGCTCAAATAGCAGAACGTGTGAAATTATCTGCATTTTTGTGTCTGCGAAGCGGAAAATCACGTTCTCAGACTTGGTATCCGTCGCCACGTTGCCCCCATAAACTTATGAACCGCAAAAGTAGGTTTTGGCGATAGTGGAACTTTTTTTCCGCTTGCTAAACCTACCTCTCTGCAAAATCACGCTGGAATGCTTCCAACCAATCGGAGCTCTCACAAAACTTGTCTCAGGAATTTCATTTGCACGCACGTGGATGTCTTTTGCATGCGTCTGCGCAACTGCTGGCCGGTGTCGCATCAGATTTCGTGTCAAAAAAAACCCAACCCACCCACACAAGCACGAAATCACCTGTGCACGTAGTGATAAATTGTTGTGGGGGTGGTCGCACGTCTTAATTCACACCCTTGCACCGCGTCCACCGAAAGTTTGTTTTCCTGCTTAATGTATAAGTTGGCGTGGAACTGACTAGACGCCAGTCTGATCCCTGCACGAACCAGAACAAAAGAGCCAGTGGTAACTCGCCCTAACGCCTTTCTTTGCAGCCAGAAAACCTGTTGCTCGCGAGCAAGACGCGTGGGGCTGCAGTCAAATTGGCAGACTTTGGCCTCGCGATCGAGGTGCAGGGTGACCAGTTCTCGTGGTTTGGTAAGTCCCCCCCCTGTCAGTTTGTACTTTGCTGTACGGGATCTTGGTGCGATCTCCAGGTCATTTGCAGACCGCGTGCTGGCAATGTTTGACTTTCGTTTTTTCCACTTTCGAAGACGTACCCACGTGTACTTTTGGACTGCACCAATCATTTAGATTCCCGAAATGCGATGTTGAAACGAATTCGGCTCAGAGACTATCGAATGATGAACGGTGCCTTCAGGGAATACCCCCGGTGGGCATTTTTGTGGGTGAAATATGGGCGAAAGTGCACACGCTAGAATTCGGAAAGGGGCCATGGGCAAACAGGCGTCGATAGTCCCGCTCAGTAACCTTAAATTCCTGTAAAATCGAATTTTCTTCCGTCAAGACCAGCGTTTGCAGTGATCGGCATTTCCAACGATTCCGTTGTTTAAATTTGCATTGGAACATCTTGTTCGAAATTAGGACTAGAATCACACGTTAATTAGGTCATCTGCTAGGTGCGTGGGATCGTAAAAAGTATATGATCTTGCGTTACCTTTGATCCGACAATCGGCCCATCATGGCCAAACTGCAAAGTGCTTGAAGGTTGGAGATGGGTAAGCTTCCTTTGTTTATCCATCCATTCTTAAAGCAATTCACTACCCTAGAGAGGCAAACTACAAATCTTTGTTTCAACGGAAACACCTCAGTCACTTAAGTGAGTTGAGGGCTTTTCGGTTTTCGCTGCAGACTCTGCCCTGCTTTCTTCTCTCGCATCAACTTACTCGCAAGTTGTACTTTGTAAAGTGGTGGCAAATAGTCCTCTGTTCGCATCATCACAAGACTCGCACACATTCATCTCTTTCGGAGCTGTTCTGCTCACACAACAGTCGAAGCCTCCCTTATCTCGCAGTTTCGGTGGATGCCTTTCTGTAAACTACCTAGATGTCGGACACAAAGGCGTGGTTTGACTTCCGTCTATGTGCTCGTAGATCCGATGTTAACCGGGACTTCCAGATTCATCTGTGGCGCATGAATCCTGAGAATCAACGCCCATGAACACCGTAGTTCGTCGGTAAGCTAGAACAAGTCTTGCCCTTCCAACCAGAAACCCACTGTGTCTCTTTGGGGTTTAGTACGAACATTGGCGTACTTTACGAAGTCACAGTGAAGGTCATCGAATGTCGCGGCGTCGAATTACGGGGTTTAGTACGTACTTCTTAAATCGATCCGGATGTAACAGCCTCATCCACCACGAGAAAGGTTATCATATGTCTTTGTAGCATGTTTATGAAAGGATCTCTCGCCTTGAGCATTTCCTTGGAAATATGTTCAATTTCGTCCAAGTTTAACACCCTCAGGAACTCGTGGTGAATGACATCTATTCCCTCACACTACAGGCATAATTGAATGACAATTTAGGTGTCCATTTTAATAAATTCGCATTCCTGATTGGTCCATAATGTCAAAGAGTGGACGCCCAGAGCTATTCCGTTAAGGTTTCGATCTTCAAGAAGGGTCAGATTGGCTATTAACCGGAGTGAACTTGTCAAAATTGATCGAGGTGTTGGAAGTCCCGTTGCCTGACTTGAAATGACCTCAATTTCGCATAAAAATGAGGTTGCATAGGTTGTAAACATGACAGATTACCTGAAAGAACAACTTCCATCTAGATGGAAGTTGTTCGATGCCAGCTGATTCTCCCTGGGAAGGCGGTTTTTTCCTTCTGGTTTGCCTTCTTGGCAGAAAGTGGCCTTTACAATGACCCTTCATGATGTCGACATTCATACAAAAAACACCCTTTTCACAATTTGCAAGCACTCGTTTTTGTTGGTTCGTTTTGACTGGTCTTAATTGTGTTCACGATGGTGGGTTTTTCTTGCAAAATCACTGAAATCGGACTTCCAGGCACTTGTGTGAATCTGCGTGCACAAATTAATGCGTCTTCTTGGTTGTCGAGCGTTCAGTTTGCTTCAAAGGCATTCCCCGACACAAAAAGCGTTGATGCACCCGCTGCCGTTCTGGCTATTTCTCGAAGTAAATCTTGCCGCGTTTCCTTCACACCTGAGTGAATTCGCCACCTACGTGGAACCCCGACCTAGGAAGATTGTGCATTGGCGTGCAAACTTCTCCTTTGCATCACGACCAGGGAAGAAAGGCAGCCATAATGCGCTTTCGCCTTCCAGAAATGCCCGATGTCTTTTACCGTGACTGGTAACCGCGACTCGAAGCTACGTCTATTTGAAAGCCCCTCAAGTGTCGGCTTGGGATGCGCCTCTTTTAACACAACTCTGTTTTGCGGGGAGGTATTACGTCCGAATTCTAGACGTAGCGCACAGAACCGTCAACTGTGTCGGCATTCGGAGTTGAAACAAGAACCCCAAACCGAATTTTACCCACATCGTCATTAAAATCAAGTTGATCTCGACATCTCGGTGTGTGTGTGTTTGTTCGTGTGTTTTTTGTGTCGATTTCTTCAGTACACCCCCATTTTGCTGTCAACATGGTGTTGGGATGTAGCAGAATTCATCTGCGATTGCAACCAGCCTTGGGTCTACGAACCTGCCATTCAGCATACCAAAAACGAAACATTTAGCTAGTTAGTTCTTATCATGGGAGCATCAGGTCCGTATAAATGACAGATGCTGTCAGTTAATTAATTTAAATTGGCTCTCTAGCAAGTTAGAAGCGTGTGTTTTCGTGGTTCACAGCGGGCAAATGTTACTTTAAACTAAGACACGAGTGCACCTAACAATCGCCAGTTATTTCAGGTGTTTTAAAACGTGGCAAATATCCAGTGCATTTTTTATCACTTGATTTGTAAAACCCCCGCAATTGTTAGGTGGTATGTTTGCTTTCTCCCATGAATTGAAACGAACGAAGCAAAATTCTCAAGCTGTTCGTCAAACCGGTTCTCGTTGCATCCCGGGATTTGGTGATGATGTGATGACTTGGAAGACACACAAACGTGTGAGGTCTTATCACCCACTCCAACTAATAAGTCGATTCCCAAACACACAGATTATCATTCTGTTTTAATCCTTGCTGTGATATGGCACCGCGCAAGCCTTTTAGTGGGATTTTTCGCCTGATCATTCGATCGTAATTTGGGATTGAAAAGTCGTCGACAGTGTTCGGTACAACGCCTTTTCCAGACTCCAGCATCTTATCTCGAGTTATTGTTTAAGTGGATGGTCGGAACTAAAGTTTCATCTCAGAGTTGCGGTGGATGACGTTGGAAGTGCTTCTTTGGTCGGTAGTCGAATACATCAGCGGAGCCCTCTCTGACGCCACTTAAAGTGGTGCTTTTATTGTAGCGGCATATCGTAGAACCTGCAATCTGTGTTATTTATGCCACGCGCATTCAACGTCGCAATGAATGCACTCAGTAAAAAGTATGCGTAGGCGATAAGGCAATACCATGTGTCACCTTGTTACACCAGAACGGAAAAATTCGCATTTGTAGGCGTCTGCCACGACAGTCCATAAGGTTTTATGAACATAATTGATCCACGGTACTACCATTTTTTGATTTATATTAGTAGAAGTGTTTTCTTCGCCCGCCATCACGAAACTGCTAAGCTCTATCGGTGCAATTTAGTGCCTCAGAAATGCATTTAAGGAAGGACCAGTTGCGGCAAAGTCCGTCTGTCAGGGAATTCGCAAATGTGCGTGGTGTTAGTTTTCTGTCACTTCACAAGTTGTCAGGCTCAATTTTGATTCGCTGACGATGAGCGATGCTTTCGGCTTTCAAGGTGAACCTAGCTAGTCCCGCGAAAATGAATTACACCCAAGCTGATTATTGCGACAGCATTTTAATTGCACAATAGCCCTCCTCATTGTATTGGATTGAGGTGCTTGCGTAAGCAGTCGAACTATGACCTTGAAGAGCGACATTATAGTTTCCATTAAAGGTTGAGTGACCTTGAAGCAGTCGCCGACAATGCCGGTTCCCCAAACCAATGCTGCGTCCACGTATTCTGCTAAAATTTTGGGTTTGTGTATGCATGTGAATGGCATTCCTCTGGTGTGATCCCCGCATTCCATCAGCACCTGAAAAAAACAATCTGACAGAAAAAAATGTAATGGGCTGATTTCTCCTACCCCCTTGTAGGCTTTGCTGGAACTCCCGGCTACCTTTCCCCTGAAGTCCTTCGAAAGGAGCCTTACGGAAAGCCGGTGGACATCTGGGCTTGTGGTGAGTACCGCTGTCGGCCAATTTTAACCATTTAGTCGCTACTGGGTGGTATACGGTAAATCTGTGTTGTCGCAGACCGAAATAATCCATGATTACGAATTCTCGCGCAATTTCGGGTCCCTTCAACACTGTGCGAACTCTACCAGGGCCATTGGCTTGTTTATTGCCTCTGATGCAGGAACTGCTGTAGGTAAGTTGCCTTGCGATCATGGGACGCGCGAGACGCGCACACAGAAGCGTCGTCTTGGGAAAACCAGCGTTACCCACGCTGATTGTGACCTGACTTTAGTACCTCGGGCTGACAGTCGTTATGTGCTTCCATGGGATATTTATGTCTTGGAGACTGGGTGGAATTGTGAGGTGCAAAATCACCGACCAAATTGTCGTGCCACCAAACCACGCTCATCATGTAGGTTGGGTAACACAGATTCCCAGTCGCCAAACCACGGGGTGAGGCGATCTTTTCAGTTCCCCTCCGGGCCGCTTTGGGTATTATTTATTTCAACATGTTTCAGGTAGTGACGAAAATAATCACCTACTTCATCTAGCTGATTGATATAAAGATATTGAAAAACACGCTGAAAAGACAGTCAAGGTGGGTTTGTGGGGAGGGCGGGTAGATCAAGTGTCCACCTTCAATTGACACAAAACAACCCCACAGTTTCCACCGGTTCCACGAAATCTAAGCAAACCTCGTGCCTTGTTTACCCGACGGTCAGTTCGAATTCCCCGAAGACTTTGCCTTCTGTCCGGTTTGGAGGAGGAGGAGGAGGTGGTGGTAGTGGTGGAGTCGCAAGCAAGAGAAATTCTAATCTGGCTGTTTTTTTCTCCCTTCTCCCAGGTGTGATTCTCTACATCCTCCTCGTCGGCTATCCACCGTTCTGGGACGACGACCAGAACCGCCTCTACAGCCAAATCAAGTCGGGCTCGTACGATGTGAGTGTGCAACTCTCCTTCATCGCCATTATTGGCCAGATTTTAGTCTCCTTCTGTGATTAATTGGTTGCACATCGACTTGGTTCTCGTACACAAAAGTTTTTTCCCGGAAATTTCCAATCTCACGTACTTTTGGGAGCCATTTTAAAGTCGACACGATCGTGAGTGCTGTTTCTCAGGCGTTTTTGGTGATTTCTCGAATCTGACACCTACACACCTTTGGGAGACTTGTCATCTTCCTGGAAGCATCGTGTTTCCAGTCTCAGTTAAAAATTTCTGAGCATCACAAGTAGTAATCTGGTGGTGCAGGAACCCAGCGCCTCAATAGATGTTTTCAGTAAACATCTGACTTGATGGTTTGGTTACTTTGAAGCAGTTCAAGCTACACAACATCTTTTTACTCCAACCAAACTGATAGCATGCAATTCAGCTTTCGAAATGGTGATTTGAAAATGTCAAAATAACTAACACCCGGCCGACTGTCTTCCTGTTTATGTGTTGTTTATGATGATTTCTGCATGTTAAACGGAAGAAACAGCCACTTTGAATAGAAATTTGAACAGCACATAATTTTATGCGACTACTCTCGTTTAATTTTCGCGGGGATCACCAAAGGTTCGATTTTAACAAAAACGGCACTTCTATGTTGTGTTATCTCCGCGTATCCGATTTGTTGTATGAGTTTAGTGTTGTTGTTATGCAACACAAGTGCTTTATTCGAGTCTACGTCAAAAATATTTTAACCTTAAAACCAAACAACACTTCGTTGATGTTCAGTTCACCTTGAGTAATTCGAGTTGAGTTAGACATACAACAGCACTTGCAAATGGGTGTGCGCATTTTCAGATCTTGGTAGCTCGTTCGGAGTGCTCACACCTATCACCGCCGACGAGTCGTTTGTTTAATACGCGTAAACTCCAAGTTTTATCGATTGTGAGGTGCTCAAGGTCGTGCCCGAGATTTCCGCGAAAGTTGGTTATTGACTCACATCCTCGTTTCTCAAACTTTCACCCTGATGTCTATCCTTTGACCTTCACGATTTACGGCAGGTAAAAGTAAAAAAGTAGGCCCATTAAGCGTGTTTTCGATAACCTCCCGAATTACAAAACATTTGCAACAAAATAGTTTTGTTTAAATTAACTTTGGTTCATGATGCAGCAGGAGAAATCGATAGAAATCTACTTATCACTGAACCGTGTTGGCGTCGAGCCGTGTGCGTTAATAGCCAGTGATTTTATTGGGCCTGCTACACTGTAAAAAAAATTACAGTTGCTAAAACAAAATCTTGCTTTTTTTCATATTTTCCTTTCATATTTAATGACTTTCTCGCTCCTAGGCTTCTCTCTTATATCACCCGTAGCCTCTTTGCCCCGCGAAGTCTTAAAAGCATTTCAAAATATCCGTTATGATTGTGGTTGGAGCTTCTTTTTTTATAACCTCAGCGTTTTATGGTCCTGGCTGCTCTGCGCGATGCCATCGGAGTAATTTACAGCTCACCCTTTTTCGTTGTTTTAATTGTATGGTATGAGAAAATAAAAAAAATGAGTTAACGATGAGCGAACTCTCTGGCAGAATGCAAACAACTAAAATCGTGAGTATTTAACAACAACACAAAACTGCAGATTTGGCATTGTGGCGTTTCTATCAAATGTTAGGCGTCAGATTTTGTTATCGTTCGACTATCAATTTTCCCGGATGTTGTTTCACCGTAAAATTAGTGTTTTAAAAAAAACGCTTTTTCTCGTCCACGAATCAACTCGTGAGTTATAAGGCTGCGTCGAAAGTCGACAACGCGTCACAACTACAGACGTCTATAGAATCAGGGCTTGGCTGCATCACCGAAGACTCAAAATCAGTAAAGACGCTAATGCTTGGCATTGACTTTGTTGCCGCAGGACCTAAGCGCGCCAAGTTAGCTGAGGATCACAGTTGAGAGCATCACATCCGGTTTGGCAAATTGTAGCAGTGTAAATCAATGTTTGGCTGGTAGTTTAGAAGTGAGATTTAAAACAAATCAGGCAATTAAACTTGGAGTCAGTCCGTGGCTTTCTAACGTAGTAGTGCTGGTGAAGAAACCGATGTGAGAATCCCTCGCTTTCCAAAGTTTATCAGAAAGAGTTTTGTCGATTCGGATAGAAGGAGTGGAGACACGCATCAAACCCTGTGGTTCAAAGCCAAATTTTTAATTTAGAAGTTCGCCTACCTTGAACGCACTGACGCTGATCTAGTAAAAGACGATGCAACAGAACTTGGAATTTGTAGAAGTAGGAATGGCCAGTTGATGCCAGTGTGTACGGATACGGAATCATATCAGTCTGCTTTTCCGGCTTATTGGTCAATTTAATTTCCAATGTGCGTTTGTATGTAAAGCCATAACAGCATTACATCCAGCACAACCTGTTTCCGTGGCTCTGCCTTTGACGAAGACGATTGAAACTATGGTTGCAACGAGATATGCGGAGCGGAATGGTCATGCTTGAGGAATTTTGGTAGCTGTCATGTAAAATTGCTTGAATGCTGTCCGCGAAGACGTGAGCGGCTGTAGGCAGCTGCATTTCCACCAGTCAGGCGTGCTCAACACACACGGTCTGCGACAAAATTGGTGCAAGAACAAAAGGTAGCATCTGTCGGTCTTAGTCAATTGCAAAATTTCACGAAATGTTTGATTTAATCTTTGTCAATGCTGAAATGCGTTGTGAAAATAAGCCGGAATAACGCTGGTGGTTGCGTGTTTTGTGGTCATTTTGAAAAAAAATGAACATCAAATCTCGCCCTAGCAGTAAACCAAGAGGCACATATATTTTCGGCTTTGATGATGTAGACGAGAGAGGTTTTTGAAAAAAATCGTGTATAATACCGAAAGCAACAAAGCGTTTTTCACTTAACGTTGGGTAATTAGACAGACATGAATAATACCCTCAAAAGATGTTGCCCTTCCATAAACTGCGACTTCTCTTTATTAAGAAGCAAAGGAGGAATTATCAATGGCCCCTAATTTAGACATCGCCAATGCGAAAACATTGTACAGTGCCCACGAAGGCCAGTATCTATGTAGCTGTTTTTGTGCCTCCGTATAATGCTAGTTGAGCCATTAAATCGCAAAATGTCTGGATGTTTATGCCCTCTTGGTAAATGGTTTGGAAAATTTCCGCCCAAAACCGTTCTTTTAATGCCCAAATGCAATTTCCTTGGTGGAATAAATCCTTTCAAAATGACATAGGTGATTTACACAAACCTGTGCCAATTGACAACGTCTTCTGTTTAATCGAAAACTTAAAAAATTGCGAAGGGACTCGACTGAGTCGTTTTCGCCACATTCCAAATACGTAACACTCGACTGAGTTTTTAAATTCAAATTTGCACGAATCTGATTGGCCAATTCGATCCAGGACGGATTTCCTTCTGAGCACTCTGTGACATTCACCGCTCTGCTTTGGTTGTCAGGAGCAAATTTTGGGCCCTGTAATGGTGAAGCGCCTTTTTCTTATTCTCTTCTCAATATTTTCACAAAATCGATATTTGAACTAGCCAATCACCTAAATCACAGTCAGCAAATGCCGATATCAAGCTCTTCTAAGGCCCTTATCCGCGACAATCGTGGTTTAAAGAAGTTTTCATCTAAAATTAATGAAGGGACCCCAGGAAGGTTGCGAGGTTTTGTGCTCAGCGGTCGCTCGCGAGTGCCAAATTATGTGGAGTCTTCATGTGTGTTACACTGGCACATCTGTGTGTAACACGACGCGCTGACGTACAAACTGGTTTGTGGTTGTCACAGCTCTCGTGCTGCCGATCGCAGCGTAGCTAAGACGGTTCGATGCAGTGCCTTCTGTCAACCAACGCCACCCGAAACCCCATCTTAGTTCACAACTTGTTTTCCGAAATTACAACTCCCATATCATGGCCCTGGTTCGAGTCTAAATTATCAGCCCTGCCGATTATCGATCGGTTTCATCATTTTACAATTATGACTGTCCGCAGATGCGCGTTCCGGGGATCTGTTTAGGCCATGATATTTCCCTTCATGATTGAGTCCCGGAAACCATGTCGAGAGGCAAGGGGTCTCGTTGATTAGTTGAGTGAGATTGCTGCCAATGTCGATGTACCTCTTTCTCAACAGCACAGCCATAAAAGCACTCTAGTGTCATCACACAAATTTGGCTCATGTTGAAGCCCTACACACACCCAGCTACGTGACGTGAAGCTTCCTTACTCAAACACACAACATTGTCACGCCATCGAACACAGGCTACATCGATTGATTTGTCGTCCAATTTAATGTCTGCTAACGAGTCTCATGAAACCCAGTAATAAAAGATAACTAAGCACCCGCTAGACCTAGAAGTGTACCTCTCTCGCAGCCAGTGAGATTGAAGGCTCGTGAGCAGTTCGTTAATCGGTCGCTAACACGAGTAGATCGTTATCATTGCCTTCTCTTTCAGTACCCGCCGCCAGAATGGGACACGGTGACGGCAGAGGCGAAGAATTTGATCAATTCCATGTTGACCATGAACCCCTCCAAGCGCATCACCGCGGCCGAGGCACTCAAACACCAATGGATCTTCGTGAGTTTGTCACGCCTTTTTGAGTCTGTTCTTGATTAGACTTAAATCCGACAAATAACGCTTCCATGTGTTGATTGGTGCGCCCTCAATGTCTACTCGAGCGAATTTAAATTATGTGTAGGACTGTTCACCGTTGTCACGCGGGGCTCCTAAGCAGAAAGGGGTCTTTTTCGTGCTCTTTGACGTGCCCGCTGAGCGTTAACGCGACACGCTACTCCGCGTAGCAGGCACATACTCTTTAGACAACGAGCCAAGTTGCAAATTCTCGACGCCACGGCAAGGCGCAACCGTGATGGCTTGTCTGTCATCCCCTGGGCCCGCCTTAGTAAACATGTGAATTTGAGTTTTCATGGGACCTTCACGAGCCAATCATCATCAGTTGTGGCGCTGTTGACGACTAAGTTCCACTTCGTGGTTTGCTGACGATGACGAACACAAGGGTGGTCTGAGTATCTCAGTCTACAGGAACCGTCCTAACTTGGATTTTCCGTTGTTGGGTCGTCCACTCGGCTACTCTACGCCTCTTCAATTTGCGCACCCTGAAGTGTTTCTTTCTTGTCTGTTTTCCAGCAACCCGAGCGCGTCGCCTCGAGCATGCACAGGCAGGAGACGGTGGAGTGCTTGAAGAAGTTCAACGCCAAGCGAAAGCTCAAGGTAAGAACAGGTTCCTCTTTGACGTAGCCACCTGTGAAACGCACTGTATTTCCAAGCATAATCTTTGTTTCCCTCAAAGGGTGCCTAGGCTGTATTTTTATGTTCTGTTTTATTCAAAGACGTACTGAACCGTTCGAAAGCAAATATACCACCTTTATTTTGACTGGGTAGATCGGTGGACCCCCGTTTGACATCCATAACTCATACTCGACCATTTTAAACTCTATTTCTCTCAATATGTCATCCGGTCTCACTTTCACCACGATGTATTCCGTCACCGTGTGGCAGAAAGTAGGTCTAGTCACCTACGACCTCCAAAAGATGGCAAGAAAGTGAAGAGGGTGGGGTGCTGAGTTCGCCAGTCCCCAGTTCCACGGAGAATCTTCAAGACGTCTTCTTGGCGTGTATACCTGGTTGTACATCTTTGGGTCAGCAGTCTTGGATGTGCTAGGTCTCATTAGAAAGCCGTCGACCCCTCAAATGTGGTGTTTGTGGACCCTCCTTACCTGAGCTGTGCCGAAATTGAAAAATATGGGACTCGCACATTTAATGCCATTCCGAGTTGTTGCTTATAATAGCATATCGAACCCTTTAGGCAATGCTAGAGACGATCACGCGTGTTTACTCAAGCTTGGGTCGAAGTCCCGACCTTGGAGGCGTTTGTCGGTCTTTGCTGCCAGATTGAATCTCCTTCTAGTCACCGCTATACCCAGCACAAATTGGGTTTTTGAAGATGCCGTAATCGGTTGCGACGAGATGGGTTATTTAAAGACGCCAACTCCCAAGCACCAGACTGAGTTCTCTCTAAATGACGTCGACTGTCATCGACAAGAATAGCTAATTGATGCTCTTGCATCAGGGAATTGCGTTGATGCTATAAATATCAAATAGGCGATTTCTAATTGACGAACAGGAGCCAATTGAATTATCCTGCCAGAAGTACTCGTGTTGAGAGGGCCCCCACCCAACACCGAATCCATTTCGGAATGAGCGGTTGTTGCCATTTCTGCAGGAACGCCTCAAATCCATTGAAGCACGTTACTGTCCGGAAACGGCCGATTAAATTGTCCGTCTTCTGGAACATCGTTCTTGGTAAACTTGATTTGGATTTGAAGCCATGGACACTACCGTTCATCTTTGGCCCCTCGACCCACGTAAACACCTAAGACTTGCCGTGGAAATGTCGAGTATCCAATTGCCTCTGGAGCATGTGGATTCTAGAATCGCCAGCGGTGTTTGTTTGCAAAAGTGCGTTCGTTCGTGCTCAAATTCTTTTCCGTTTATGGCGTTTGTAAATGTTTAAACGCGTTTCTGAGGAGCGTTTATCGCACACCAGCTGGCTATCACGGCTTTTGGCAAACCCCAGAATCCCTCCAAATCTGTCTGTTCCTTTTTTTGACATTCAAGCGTCTCCGTGATTCTATAGCATTGATATTTGCCCTTCCCCTGCACTATAACTCCAGGCGGTATTGCAGTGCGCGTTTTTCTTAGCACAATATTTGACCGCTTAAGTCAAGGCAATCCTTTCAAGTGACGGCAAGGATCCATGTAGGATGACTGTTCACAAAATTAATCAATCAAGGTCACAGTTGTGTTTTATGTTAGTTTTTTTTTCCTCTTTTAAGTCCATCAACCCGAGTGGCAGTAGTTTATTATTTAAAAAAACAAGTGCACTTCCCCCGCACTACGTTGATTTAGACGTTAAACTGCTTCTAGGTGGGTTCTCGTGCATGTTTTATTGGAAGTTTGTGTCGCGCGCACTTGCGGCTCGACGCGCTCATGCACGCGCGTGCGCGCATGCGCAACACACACACACACATTCCGCGCGCACTCACTAAAACAACTCGCAAACTATCGATTTTTCGCGTGCGTTTATGTACCCGTGGTCCAATTGGCTAGCGCTGTCCCAATAGCGTCTCTACCGTTTTACCTCACAACCGTGCGCGTCACTTCCTCCAAGTGCGCCCTTTTGCGTGGACGCGGTTAATCCTATGCATTCTCATGTTTGTGGGGTGGTGGGGGGGGGGGG